TTTGTGGATTTTTTTTATAAGTGAATTAAGTAAAACATCAATTATATAAGTATGTATGATCAGTCGATCTGGGGTGCGAATCACAAATTCGCAATGCATTCAGATGTTAGTTGTGACTGACTTGGCTAAGGAGAATTTTTACATGTGCATTCTTTACTGACAAATCCCACATCAAATATATTGGTACATAGCTTTCAATCCATCCAATCATTTTATAATAGCAAATTAATGGAGAGAATACGGCTTCACAAATGTCTAACCCTTACACTTTAACTATAAAATGTACATGCCCATCGTCAGAAACCGTTAAATTAGTGCATTTTACACTTATTTTATGTTCTTTAGCCATAAAAAAAGGTCAAAAAGATTCTATTTTACGCCCCTTTTTCAAAATCCTGGATCCGCCCCTGATCAAGGTTGGCAACAATATCGATTTCATTTTAAAAAGTATTGGCACCTAGTACTGAATATATACTGTGCGGGATAAATGTTGAATTTCCCAGGAAGCAGGAGCAGACATTCAAAGCGGTTCTGTTTTCTCAACACTCCTAGTCATTTTTCTTTTTCAAAGATTTGAAGACCGCAAATGCGAGTTTATGGGGGAAAAAACTAATTTTCGGATACCTGTCTGTATATTTCATATAGAAATGAATTCATATCTATAAAATACTGTAGTGAAATCCTTCGTCCAAACATGAATATGACAGTTGTTATCCATTCGTTTGATGTCTTTGAACTTTTGATTTTGCCAACTGATTAGGAACTTATCCGTTTTGAATTTTCCTCGGAGTTCAGTATTTTTGTGATTTGAATTTTTACCCCCAGGTTCAACAACTTTTTTGAAATTTTGAGTATTAATTTTAATATTGATCTTGATAAAATAATTAACATTAATTATAATTAGAGAGTTTTGCAGATAAAAAAGACATATGGTTAAAAACATTTAATACAGTAAAAATGTAGGTAAAATATTTGTGAAATTAACTCTGATTTAATCTACCCTTACTCGCCTTATATTGTCATTGCCAACACTTTTTTTTTTCGATATTCCTCGTTGTCAAATATTTAGCATATATGGCGAACCCATGGTGAAATCAATGAAATTCAAGCCCTATGAATCTATCCTTTTTATTATATAAACCAACGAGGTGTAATTTGTTAGCCGGCATGACGTGATAATCACGAATCAAAGATTTAAATTTTATATATAACTTATATTGGAAAATGGTGTTGATTATAAATTTCAAGTTCCCGTTTGTAGTAAGAAAACCAGGACGGATTCAAACAGAACGATTTTGAAAGCAGAGAAAAATGTGCACCTTAGTATCAGCATATCCGCTAGTGGAGACATTCTGATGATAAAATGCCTTTCTTCCAAGTTTTATATAATACACGTAAACGTTATGTAAATTTCTGGTAGTATAATGCAAGATTTTTTAATTTTTTTTCTCGTGAATCTCCTGAATAAAGTTCCAACTGAACACTAAAGGAAATAGTCGACAAGTAGCACAATGAGTTCCCGTAGGAATGCAAATTGTTTGTTGTAAAACACGTCTTGCTACAAATATTTTGTCAATAAAAAAAAATAAAGCATCTTAACGATGTCAGTTTGAATAATTTTTTTTGTTTGAATCAGATTAGGTTTTTTTCCAAAGCATTCCTACGCACCTAAAACATAATAGTAGTTGTATATACGTCACTTCTGTAAATTTGGCATCAAGTACAAAAAAGAAGATTCAGTTCTTTTCTCTATTGATGCAATTTCTATGGAACATGGAAAGACCAGTTATTGTTCTGAATTTTCTCTTTGGTAAGTAAGTGTCTTTATAGTATATGTTTAGTTAATCTGACTTGTCCGTTTTTAAGTGATAAGGGTACATACTATTTTGCTCACAATAAAGGAAACACTTGTTTCTATATATGTGATGTTATTGAAGAAAACGTCTATGTTAATGTCCCAAAGAATGGGATATCGAATTACGTCTGTCCGTCAGTCCGTGTTTTTGGCTACCTGTCCTATAAACTTTTGGTCGCATTTTGCCTAGGAATAATATAAATTAAATTGGATAACTAGCTTTGAATGAGCATGATAAATTGTGAGGCGCATTTTCAACACGTTCAAATTTACCGCTCATCAAAAGACTATTCCTCGAATACCTATGTATGCTCTCAATTTGACATGGCCATGTACGAAATCACTGTCATCGTTTTCGAAGAACTATCGTCTGGTGTGTTTTAAGACCGGTATCATTCATAAACTTCCTGTTTACCTTATACTTATAGCGGGAGTACTATCATTAGGAAACAATATCTCACAGTTCAACTTACTGTTTATAGGCTATCATAATTATTTGCAACAAGCGTAATTGGAAGCAGATTATCTTGTTACTATGTTCGCATTTAACAAAATTCGCGCATTGATATTGTTCACTATTGACACTCTTCCCACTCTTCTTGTTATTGCAATTTAATTGATTACAATCGTGCTGAAACAGCCATCCGTGATGATATCGATGTTATCAGTCACGGATGCAGAGGCTTTATCAAACCCCTAACATATATGACTTCACGTAATAGAAAACTTTCGAGTTCGATGCATTTTCGTCAAAAACTTTGGTTTTAGTGAACACCATTCGTGCCTTTAGGGGTGTCGTCACTTCCGTTCCTTTGTTGAACGAGTGGTTGGAAAAATATGATGATATTTCACGAATTTTTCGGCAAATTATTTTTTATAGTTGACAATCGCCACTGCTGTCATTATGGAATTGTGATTAAGTACCTAAGAAAGAAATATTATTTTTAGTTTATCATGTACAATGACGATCACTAAGACGCTTCATTGACGTTAATAAGGCAGGGATACAGGCGATCCCCTCTATCTGGTAAATGATGTCATAAAGGCGCGTATAATTGACCACGGGTTGGGACTTTATGCTTAATATTTTACCACGGGCGATAGCGAGGGGTGAAATATCGGCATAAAGGCCAAACTCGTGGTAAAATCAGTATAAATTCAAGCCCCTATAAATTATTTCAATTCTAATACTAATAGGACAAATACGGCAATACTTTTGGATCGAAGCGCTCTAGGAGGCAGTTTTTGGCCTATATCTCAAAAACTAAAGCTTTTAGAACAAATCTGACATGGGGTAAAATTGTTGAATAGGTCAACATCTATCAGCCCTGAATTTTTTAGACAAACCGCACAACCCATTGTTGAGTTGCTGCCACTAAAATGGTTATTTTAAGGAAATTTTGCAGTTTTGGGTTATTATTTTGAATATTATTGAATATAAAGATAAACTGTAAACAGCAAAAATGTTCAGCAAAGTAAGATCTACAAAAAAGTTTTATATGACCAAAATTGTCAATTGACCCCTTGATGTACATGTATGAATGTATGAATGTTAGCTGTATACATGTATTTTGTTTGAGGGCCTCAATGAAAATTAGACTAGTTCTAATTGAGTTACCCTCTTTAAATAAAGAATTTATTATTATTATATTATTATTATTATTATAAGGAGTTATTGCCCTTTAAGGACAATTTTACACAAGTTGTTTATGTTTTTCAACTTTAAAAATCTTCTCAAATGAATCTAGTGTAAATTTTGTATTTAATTTCCTTGTACGTCAAGAAACATAGACACTATGGCTAAAATGGAACATATGGATAAAATGCATTTATTTTCTTTTGAAGAAAATATGACAGATACAATAAACATTTAAATGGCATTTTTAAGCCACTTATTAATATATATTGAAAAGCAAAAATAATCATTGATGAAAGATTTAAGCAAAAAAAATATCAGGTGAGCGATTGAGGCTCTTGAGAGCCTCTTGTTTTGGTTGTAATCTCTGTCCTGCCTTTTCATTTTTAACTCTGTTTGGTCCTGCCTTTTAATAGTAAGTTTACATAAATTGTCATCCTGCTTTTTTTTGGCAAAGTGTATTTACTGCCTTTTTTTTTACTCAAAACTCCTGTCCTTTTTTTCAAATTTCATCCTAGACCCTCCCCCTCCCCATAAAAATCAAATGGTAGCTCCCTTAGTTGTGCTTGAGGTCCATGTACATAATAAAGTGTATATGATATGGCTTTTTCAATATCACACACTGTATCAACCATCAATCAATATGTGGTCTCTCGAGCAGAGCTTTTGTGTTATATATTTCTGGTTGATACATGTGTGATATCGGAAAAGCCAAATGATATTCTCTATTTATGCAAGTGTCAGATTACCACTATATATATCTGGTTCCAGGATAATAAACAAAACTTGAATTTTTCTATTATGTTCAATTTTTATTCATGTAGGCCATGGTGCCTGAAAGCAGTACGGTATCATCTGACACACCTTTTTTTATCTGGATTCACAACGCATGATTGTGGCCATGTTTTTTTTTCAAATTTGGACCCTTAGTTTCAAAGAATAGTGTGAGTGTATAAGTTAACGGACGACGATGGACGCCAAGTATAAAAAAGTGCGTGTGTATATGTCTGTGCGTGAAAACAGAGAGATGATTGAGCAACAACACAACTATTTCGACTCTAGCATTTGTTAAATTAAGGTTCATCATAACAAATGGACAAAAATGTATGCATTTACACCTCAAAAACTACTCTTAGTACAGACTTACCTGTGCAGTTGGAAAAATTAAAAGGCCTGGCATCCACTAGACATTTACAAATTAAATGCATTTTGCATTTCAGAAAGATAAAATTTTTTTTTTTTTATTTTAATGGGCATTTTTGTTTTCGTTCCTGCAGAAGGTGTAAAAATAATGTAAGTTGAGATACAACTTTGAGATGCTCCCTCTCAGGTAACGACTGTTTGGTATTGTCTGTATTAAGAGTAGTTTTTGATGTGTAAAAACAGCCATATTAGTCCATTTGTTATGATGAACCTTAGTAATACAATCGTTTGTCACATGATATGAATAATCTATTTGATTATTTAAGGAAATAATTCATTTGTTTATTAATCTAAATACATAACAGACATGTGCATTATGTATTTGTAATTTCATTTTTGCATGAGAAGACGGAAAGAGAGAAAACTATTCATTACAGTACACACAAGGAACAACATTAAATAAATCCACTTAGATCAGATAAAAGTAAGTCATTATAAATTCTAAATAAATGATTCAAAACAATATTTAAATTCAATACCGAAATGATTCATTCGATTTGGAAGGATAACATTTAAAAAAAAATCCTATTGGAAATTAAAACATTTACATAAATGACGACTTTGTAAACGAATAAATTCTTGAAAGATTGTAGTAGTTCATAATGATGTTATTTGACATGATCCTTCTTTCCTTACACCATATTCTTAGCCTTGTGACGAAGCTAATCTATACTGAAGGATGTATATTAGTTAGATCTGAATTTATTTTAAGAATTGAATTCTTCTTTTTGTGAATTTATTTGGGTGTAAAAGCGTTGACCAAAGTACATTTTTTATGAAGTGCAGAAGCGCTTCATAAAAAAAAAATGTGCACATGATCAACGCTTTTACAACCCTATAAAACTACTAAAAAAAGCATTCAATACTGAATAACTACATTTTTTTTGCTAGGATCATAAAAACACGAATTCTTTTTAAGTTTTTCTTTTATTTACCTGTGCACTTTATTGTGGAAGCTGGTGTCATGATGAATGTTACATTTCATTTTGAATTGAAGGTTAATTTCAGAATGACGTGAGATGACTGTTTGCGAATCAAGATAACGTATTATAATGAATTGTTGAAATTTATATTTTATGTGACCACGATGTGGTGCTATAATATTATTATTAAGTACTTAAAAACGTAAGAAAAGCAGGTACTCATATCTGATCTACATGCATAAAAAAGACAAATAGGCAGCCATCCATGTTAAGATTGACTCTAGAAATAAGCTTAAAAAGGGCAGCCTATATCAAAATTAGTTTTTTTATCATTTTAATCAGGTAGCAAGCAGACAAAGACAAATTCAACATTGAACAAAATTTTCAGTGCTGATGGACAGATACAGGTTCAGAAATATTCTTGGTGTATTTTTGTTCTCATGTGGTAAGTGTCAAACAATTTTTTGCAGTTTAATTTATTTTATTGACCTAATATTATAAATATTTCTGTATTTTCATACGTTTATACTAGAATATTGGGATGCCAAATATATAAAATTGGCATATGTTTTTTTAGAGAACTGCACAGAGCCGAAGGAGTCTTATTTACAGTTTTAGAGACTTATCCAAATCATAATATAGCCTTAATGTATGGTCATCGAGTGTATACAATTGTTTACAATATTTTGGTGTTTTTTTTTTTTCATTTAAAATTTCGACATAATATCGTGTGAATCATCTCATGATGCATTTCCCATTTGACCAATACATAATAAGTTATGCAGGAAATGAATTTACGTACACGAAGAGTAACGCTTTGTTATATGTTTATTACATAGACAAGCTTGCTCATTGTTGATGGCCGTACGGTGACCAATAGTTGCTAATTTCTGTGTCATTTGATCTCTTGTGAAGAGTTGTCTTATTGGCAATCATACCACATATAGTTTTATAAACAACCTAGACAAATAAAGCATCCTAGCACTTTTCTGGGAGCAAGAACATTTCACTACAAAAATGTTGTTTCATTAGTTTATTTCTATATTTCCAATGAATACATGTATATGTCATGGATTTTAATCTGTTATGTGTAATGTCCCTATTTCTGTACTGCTGAACTTCTATGAATTGTTTATAGACTGAGTTCAAACCATGAAAGTACTACAAAGATAACTACTATTTCACAGCAGAAATACATGATAAATAGGGGAGATATATTGCTATAGATATGTCATTTGTTGTAGAAATTATAGGGATGCTCGTAATTGTGTTAAGATACGCGTTACTTTATAGCGCAAAATGTTTCCTGCATATTCAGAGTGAGAATAAGTTAGGGGACGACCATTTGATATTCTGGGGGGGGGGGGGGGGGGGGGGGGGGGGCAGGAGGATTTTGAAAATAAATAACTCAGCCTTGATAATAACAAAAATGAATGGTTTGGTCTGTGGTAGTTTGAAAATAAATAACCTGACTTACAATGTATTGAAAAAAATAACTCAGCATGTCTTTTAAGCCATTTTATAAATGCTATTCTAAAGTATGAGATGGCACCAGATTCTTCCAAAATTCATCTTTTTTTCAAATTTTTTCGGGAAAACTTCCCAAATCTTTTAATAATACAATGTATAAATATCATGAATATTAATGTACTTGAAATGTCTGAAAATGGGTTTCATTTAACTTGAGGTATATTGTCTCAAGAACATTTACCCCACTTTTATTACAGGGACGTAACTACATTGAGGCAAATGCCTCATGTTGGAAATTTTGAAAACAAAAGCTTGTCTTCATATCAGATTGTTTTCACGGCGAGTGTCTTGCAAGAAGCAAGGTCTGTTCACCCTCTGACGTAGCCCCCGTTTTTCAGGATCAATTTTTCTCATTTATTTTTAGTTTTCAGTGTTACTTGTCTATTGTTTGTCGCTTTGTGTTTTATCTGTTCCCGGATTTGTCTTTGTTCATTGATTGCCCTTCTTTATTCTCTTAGTGTTGCATCCCATCGGTAATATAGTAATTTTTGTTTTAAATCTAAGTTTTATTAATTTGAAGGACTTTTTATCTAATTTTACAAACTACTTTAAATTGTATCCCAGTAAGGAACTACATCAAGTTGTAATTGAAATGTGTTATAAAAACTTACTTGACATAGTTATATCAATGATTATCAGCCCCCTCTTAACTTAATTTGAAAAAAAACACATAATTGACAGGAATAAAAGATTTTCTGCAAGCAGAAACACAAAAAAAAAGAAAAAAAAACCCAGCAGCCACATACTTTACTATGTGAATTACATTTTTGCTTTATCCTACATATTAGTCTTTTGATGTTGTACCTAAAAACTAAAAGTCTTGCACTGAATCTATATATTTTGCTTTGAGACCAAAATATCGTCGAAAAAGTAAAGAACGCAGAACTTGCGTTTCAGATTAAGAAAGGGTCTGGGAAACGCGCAGAATGCAGTATTTTGTATCATTTTTTCTATAGCTTCTTGCGGCCACCAAAACCCTTTGCCGAAATTTTTTTCGCCTCGCTCCACTCGGCGAATTTGTTTGTCATTACTTTTAAAGAAAACTATAGTTACAGCAAAATTAATACATTGTACGTATTTAATGTATGCAGTTTGGAATTCAGAAGATTCACTTCCAGAGGATGATGATTAACTCTGATTATATGGTGGTACATAATGACTTGACTATACATGTAATATATATTTAAGAATAAAAAAAATGAATTTAAAAATTGTGTGTTTTCAAATATTATATTAAAATATAATTGTGAAAATAAATAATCAATCCCTTCTTTTAATGAAAATGAAAAATCATGCTTCAACAGTGCAGAAAATAAATAATCTGTCCTTTAATTTCACAAAAATAAATAACCGATCCAAAACAAATCCTCCTGCCCCCCCCCCCCCCCCCCAGAATATCAAATGGTCGTCCCCTTAACAATATACGAAATGGTCGAGTCTGAAATTTTCGATTGATCTGTAGAAGGACGCATGACCCCTGAAAAGCATGGGGAAATGGGAAAATTCAAACGTGTGCCTTACAATAGGCTAAATATGGACCTAATACTAAAGAAATTTACCCTGTTGAACTTACTTTAAATAAAGCTAATACTAACAATGACCACTGTCCTTTCCTCGATCTTGATATCTATATCATTAACGGGAAGCTTAATACAAAAATTTATGATAAAAGAGATGATTTTTCATTTCCTATCGTTAATTATCTATTTTTAGATGGTGACGTTCCCTTGTCACCATCTTATGGTGTTTATATATCTCAACTTGTACGATTCGCTCGTGTATGTAACAACGTATTAGATTTTAGCGAGAGAAATTTATGTATTACTGAAAAATTATTACACCAGGGTTTTCGATATCATAAACTAGTCAAAACATTTACTAAATTTTATCATCGGTATAAGGACATCATTCGTAAATATAACTCAACATGCAGACATCTTATACGTTCGGGTATTTCACATCCAATCTTTTATGGTAATATTCTTTACAAAGCACAAAAATGTCAGTATTCACCTCAAAAGCTAACAAAACCTTTAAACAGACTTATTAAGAAGGGATATAGTTACGATACTGTTGTCAGGTCATTAAAGATTGCATATTTTGGCTTTAATATTGATTCACTTATAGGGTCTTTGCATCGGAATTAAACACATTTATTCTAAAACCAGTTGTTGGCATGACACGGGTTATGTTCTTCTCATATATTTTATGACGGTATAATACTAAACCCCTAACAGGAGGGATTGTGCCTGATATTCATATGATGAAGACATAATATTTCAATCAGTTAAATTGAGGTCTGGAGCTGGCATGTCAGTAACTGCTAGTAGTCTGTTGTTATTTATGTATTATTGTCATTTTGTTTATTTTCTTTTGTTTCCTATTCTGACATCGGACTCGGACTTCTCTTATACTGAGTTTTACTGTGCGTACTGTTGTGCGTTTGTTTTTTCTACATTGGCTAGAGGTATAGGGGGAGGGTTGAGATCTCAAAAAACATGTTTAACCCCGCCGCATTTTTGCGCCTGTCCCAAGTCAGGAGCCTCTGGCCTTTGTCAGTCTTGTATCATTTTTAATTTTAGTTTCCTGTGTATAATTTGGAGTTTAGTATGGCGTCCATTATCACTGAACTAGTATACATATTTGTTTAGGGGCCAGCTGAAGGACGCCTCCGGGTGCGGGAGTTTCTCGCTGCATTGAAGACCCATTGGTGGCCTTCGGCTGTTGTCTGCTCTATGGTCGGGTTGTTGTCTCTTTGACACATTCCCCATTTCCATTCTCAATTTTACCGTTATGCAGAGTAGCTATATCATATACCACGCGATAAATGTCAGCAGTTATATCGACCGCGAGAGGTATTCAGTTAGTTTTCGATTTATTTTCTAATGGAACATGTCAGACTATGGCATAAACTATATCAGAACGCTTAAGCTGTTACATGTACTTCAAATATCTTAATACATTTTGAAGAAGAAATCGAATATATAAACCTTTCAGTCTGCTAAAAATGTACACGTAATAGTTTTGACGTTCTGATATTGTTTATGACATAGTCATGTTCCAATAAAAAATAAATAGAACATTACTAGATATAGAAATTGAAATATGCCTGTGTAAGTTTTTTCTATATCTAAACCTACCGTGAAGATCCGAACTTAAATTTAATAAAAGAAATTAGTAACTGCTTTTTACGAATTGAGTATTTATAATTGTCTCGGTGGAATAGACCCCATATTGAAAAATACTAGTACAGTAAGATACAAGCATCCCCAAATTTTATTTATGGTTATTCTTGAAAAAAAATAAATTTCAGTTACACAATTAAAGATTTTAGGTAGAAATCACACAATGTTTCGCCACATGGAATATTCTGCATTCGAATCTTTAAATCATGAACATTAATTAATCAATAAAATTTGCGATTAATTTAGAATTTACAATTTTTTACCCATGTTTTTCATATGGGACCATGGAAGGAAATAGAACTTGAGTTGAATTGATTTGAATACTAATATTGTTTACAATTAGAGGTCAATAAAACTGGAAATGGTACTTAGATTTTGACGCGGAAAAGGATATTATAATATAAAACAATTTAAAAATAATACCACAATAATATGGGGTCAAATGGATTTCCTTTTAATTTTGTATTGTAACATCAAAAGTGACCTTTCTGCACCAAGTGTCCAGATCATATAAATCTGTTCATTTATCAATGAAATTCACATTATTTGTTAAGGCTTGAATGAGTTAACTATTTTTTTCAATTTTAGGGGGCAAATGAGGGTTGGAACTTGCTTCTTGCAAGACACTCGTCGTGAAAACCATTTGATATGAAGACAAGCTTTTTTTTAAATTTCCTACATGAGACATTTACCTCAATGGAGTATCGGCCTAATAAATAAAAGTGACGGAAATGTTCCTGAGACAACATGCCTCAAGTTAAATGAAACCCATTTTCAGACAGTCAAGTACATTAATATTTATACATTGTATTATAAAAAGACTTTGGAAGTTTTACCCCAAAAAAATATATGAAAAAGACGAATTTTGGAAGAATCTGGTGCCATCTCATACTTTATAGTTGCATTTATAAAATGGCTTAAAAACCTGCCTAGTTATATGGTTATTTATTTTCAATACATTGCAAGTCAGGTTATTTATTTTCAAACTACCACAGAACAAACTATTCACTTTTGTTATTATCAAGGCTGAGTTATTTTTTTTCAAAATCCTCCTAGCCCAACGCCCCAGTTTATCAACGGGTCGTCCCCTTATATATAATTTGTGTAACAAACTCAATTAATCTTTTGTAGTGGAGTGAGCTCTTCAGTACGAAATCACAATGATTACTTTTCATGTAGAACGGAAAAAATAACATTGTCATTTCCTGAATATAAACATAAGAGCATGTTGTGTGATTGCCAATGAGACAACTCTTCACCAGAAGACCAAATGACGAAGAAAGCTCTTTATTTGAGCACTTAAGTACGAATGGACAGGCAAATAACTTATAAGTTAATCTATCATATCAAATATATCAAAGATCTGTTCATAACACCATTTCATCATTTTACAAATTTCCTAAATTAATTGTAAATCGAGAGCGCTCAAATGTTATAAAAAGCTGACTGCAAATGTAGTGATTTTATTGCGCAAATGGAATGGTAATCAAGGTAATGCACACAAATATAATCCATCGAATTATAGGGCACAAACCGTTAATGAACGGATGGATTAACCTTTTTCACCTACTAACTAGACAATCATTCACATAAATTTTATTACAGATTTAGTAGTAACCCAGGAAAGTATTTACAAGAGTTTAGGATCTTCAGTCAAGCTGGTTTGTCCCATCGTAAAAACTGCTCGGACTATTACTTGGCTTGGACCACCGAATCTTAAAGTATACGCTGTAGGGACGGACGTATCAGAAGAATTTTCCACACGAATGGAAATCAATGTAACTGCCATAGATAAAAAGTCTGTTCTACTTATCCACCTTCTCACCAAAGACAAAAGTGGAAAATTCAGATGTAGTAATATTCATGATAAAAGAGAATTTAACTTAATAATTAAAAGTAAGATTAAAAATGAAAGCCCTTATTATACTATATCAATTATATATCTATTGATATATTTTATTGCATCAAAGTAATATGGTGCGTCATTTTAACGTACATTAATTACGTGATGTGAAATGTAGTCTATGCGAGTTGTGAATTTTGATATGATCTTATATTATATATGTTGTGTACAAGTTATCATTTTGTAGAAATTTTGATTTGTACAAAAAAATGTACAAATTTTAATTTGTATTTTGACTTTGTACAAAGTAAGATTTTTACAAAAAATGCCTGTACATATTACAATTTGTACAAAATTTGACCATAATTCACTTATATCTTGTACAAATATTTATAGTTTAAATTTTGTTCTTGAAAAAGCATTGATACAAACTATAGAATTTTTATTCAATGACTACACATAAACCTTATTTACGGAACACAAAAATACCCAGATGGAGACAGGAAATATAGTTGATATATATATACATGCATGTCAGTTAATTCTGATAGTACAATAGTAATTGGGCCCATTGACAATTCTGATAGAAATAATAAAAATTAGCCCAAGTGACAATTCTGATAGTATAATAGAAATTGGCCCGAGTTACACCAAGGATGACACTGACGTTGAAACACCAATCATACGTGCCAGGAAGTGTGCTGCAACGGTTCATGAGCTTCAACTTTCGATACGTGAATCAGTTAAAAAGCTTTCAAAAACTGTAAATCAGGGTCCGTCAGGTGTTTCTTTCGTGTTAATGCAAAGGGTGTGCAGCATTTCTAAATGTAAATGTAAAAAGCAAAAGATGGTGTGAAATTCCCGATGACATAGTTAACTTCATTCACATGCTCAAACAATTGATATAGAACTATTTTTGTATTTTGTAAATAAGGTTTCAAAAAATAGTGGTCGGGTAGGTCAGGGGTTTCTTTCATGTAAATGCAAAGGGGAGTGCAGCATTTCTAAATGTAAATGTTAAAAGCAAAAGATGTTATGCAATTCCCGATGTCATAATTATAATTCGCTCACATGCTCAAACAAATGATACTGTAACAGAATTTTGTATTTTATAAATAAGTTTTATTGTGTGGTCAATGAATAAAAATTCTATAGTGTGTATCAATGCCTTTTTTTATAACAAAATCCAGAATAAATAAGTGTACAAGTTATAAGTGAAATTTATTAAAATTTTGTACAAATTGTAATTTGTACAAGCAGTTTTTGTACAAACTTCAACTTGTACAAAGTGAAAATACAAATTATAATTTGTACAATTTGTTCGTTCAAATTATAATTTGTACAAAATGATAACATGTAACCAACATCTATATTTATATATATATGTATATATATGAAAAAAATATATATTAGTGCCTATTATAATAACAACATATAACATACAAATCTACTTGAGTGTGGAATATTAAGTACACAAGGACCTGGTTTTCGAAGGTATCGTTAGATATGTCACAATTACACAAATGAAATTATGAATTGCCTAAAACCACGATTATATTTAAAAATACAAATTCAATAGTTACACCTCAGGGACAATAAACTTTCTAGTCCACTTATGCCCAGTCAGTAAGTGTTTTATTATACCGAAAGAGACCGACAATATATGTCGGGCCTTAATCAACTATCGTCATATAAAAGGCAGAAGCACAACCATACTATTTCATGTTTACTTAATATATATTCTGAATGCTAAGGCTGTCAACTCTAGATGCAATATGTAAAACGCGTCGTCGTAACTGCCGCGGTATTCTCAACATTATCCAATCCCGTAGCTGCATTTGAAATTCCGCGAAATATAATGACGCTTGCTGTCAAATAGTTTCACCGAGGTCCTAAAAAACTATTGACCGGTCAAATAGCCATGTTCATTCAGTTCGAAATCTCTGCAATTGATTAAAAATGTCGCATTTTTAACATAAAAAGTACAATGAAAACAGATCGCACTATTAAATGACGAATCACTGAAAAAAAAACATATATATATCACTTTTGATATCCTACATATTTCATGTTTAGCTAAAAAAAAAAAAACGCTGTTACTTTACCACTTAAAACGTTGCCTGTATGTGATGCATTTTGTGTTTTGTTGTTACTTGCTTTGCGTCCGATGTCAAATATTTCTGGCAAATTCTGGGTTGCACAAACGTCTATTAAAGTTAATAGTCTATTAAAAGTACACTTAAATTTAATATTGTATTACTTGCGTTGTACAAATGTTAATTAACGTTAATAGTCTATTAACTCACTATTAAATTTATTTGAACGAAGGAGCGCTATTAAGTTCTTAATTGCACATTTAAAATGGATGCCATGCAAGTGCTTGGCTTGCTTATACCTCAAAATTAGCCGATAAAATACCGTGACAGGGTACTCAAGTCGATGATTTGTCGGATTGAGATCTTCATTAATGTGACGTAATCCCCTGTGTCTGCACGGCCGGTGATATCGCGCATTACCTGATTTCGTCATATCATATCGATATCCACAATGTTTCATAAAAAGAATCGTTTTTGTTATTATTTTAGTCTTCCTAAGAAACAGAAAAGATAAAAATTGATAAATAAATAAAAATATAGTTGCAACCCTATGATTAACCATTATTAGGGAAAAAATGATTTAATTTTTAATACGGCAAAGGAGTAGGTCCGGTAATGGCCGATTTTGGCCTCAAATTTCAGGTTCATCTAATGAAGGATTTTGGACACTTTTTAAACACTTAAGTGTCTACTTCCGTCTATTCAATTACTTTATGTGAAAGATTTGAACTGATTTCGTCATTAAAAACGCTCAAATTCAAGGTTAAATATGAAATATAAAATGTCAATTTTCAGATTGTTTTTGTCAAAAATGAAAAGTGGCCGCATCCGTGTTCACTCTCAACCTTTATATATGTTATGTATTATCATCAAATACAACTTGCATTTAAATATTAAGAATGAACACAAATACGGCCACTTCCATTTAAGACGGAAACCGTCTAAAATTTAACTCAAATGCTAAAATTGTGAAGATTTCAGTAATTTAGCATGACTTAATGATGTTAGTACCCGATATATGTGCATTGTATTGTCAAAAACAGCCCATATTTATGTAACAGAAGTATTCTACTTTCCAATAAATAGCTAAAAGTTTACATTTTAACAATTTTGTAAAACTGCTACATTTTGGGGTCAAAAAGGGGTCTTACTGGACCTACTCCTTTCATCAAACTGAAAAAAAAACTTTTACTCGCATCCTTGGTAGACTGTTTGGTTCAAACTGAACTGTATTCCGTAGTATAAAGTCATTCCTTCGAAATTAATTCAATTTTTAGAAGGCATGCGCGAAATCAATTGACATTTGAAGACCTTTCATAACAGGGGTTTCCTGACCTAATTTTGGACATAATCTTGTGGGTGAAATCATACATTAAGAAGATTTCATGAAATTAAAGTATGTCATGAATTTGTTCAAAATATTTTATCCTGTTATTGGTTTTTATAAGTTTACGAAAGTGAAGCCAACAGTCTTAAGGGCATACGATACAGTTTTGATCCCATAATGAAATTTTTATGAACATTTGCACATAGGCTTTTTTTACCTGATAAAATCAAATATCTAATAAAATATATATCTTCATGTGCTACTTTTTGTGTAAAATGAGGTCGAAATTTCAGATATTTACTCAAAATTCAGATTTGTAGACGTATTTTCCCTTTAGACAGAAATACATAACTTTTTTGTTTTAAAAGATAAACACATTCAAGCTGTTTTTTGTTAAATTATTTGTAATTTTTATTCTAAATAAGTATCTTATAAATTTATGCTAAAAAAAACCCAAAAAACTCACGTTTATCAAACGTTCATGAATTAAGAAAAAAACGTAATTTTTTGCTGTATATTTATCAAATTTAAAAAAAATTTCATTGTTGACTTTTTCATGAAACTTGGCACAGATATTCTTCATACGTAATAAAACCAAATGTAATTTTAAAAAAGAGGGGTCCATGAACTCGTTTTCAAGTTGAATCAGTTTGAAATATATAAGTTCCGTCGAAAAAGGTATCTTTTCCCGATATGTACATGTCACAGTTTGGCGTCGCGAAAATAACATTTTACGTTAGCAACGTCATTACCTCCCCGTTAATGTATCGTATGCCCTTATGGTGCGCGGATACATCAATAACCCGGTCTTTGCTATGCAAACAAAAATATGGCAGTTTTAAATTAGAGCCGTAGTTTTTCTCCGTAAAATTTTACATCCAGCAGATTGATATCAATGGTGTTAACATTGAAATTGAATTCACATTTTCTCTCTTATACACGTATTTTGGTGTATAAATGAAGAAATTTTCGAAATGTGTAACGTAATCTCCGTTGACGCTTTGATGAGTGCTTTCTTTCACGTCCGCATTTTTATCAAGTATGGCATGCCAAGTTAACATTTTAATTGATTACTACAGATGGGAGAAATACAAAATCACTGTTAATGCTCATGTGCGCAACCTTCCCGAATCGAAGTGAAAATTCGACTCGAGTTGACTCTCAAAATGGAAGATATAAATATAGAAGCAGTTGTCAATTTTCTTTTAAGGACGTCGACAATAAACTTTATATTTAAATTATTAACATAATTGAATTTAAGACTAATGCTTATTTATTCCCCTCTCCCACTCGTTTTTTTTCTAAACTTTTCTATATTTTTCAATGACAATACATGCAATTTCTTGTATCTTGAAATTTGACATGTTTTGGTGTCAATTGAAAGTAGACCCGTCGAAAAATGATGAAAACGGCTGAAATCGCGTTGACGTCGTGAAAAATGATGATGTGTGTGCCCGTTATTTTTTATTATTAGAGTCTTCGTGCACTCTGCATTATACCAAAGGCCATATAAATTATATTCCTTAGCCCAAACGAAACTGAGATGTCTTTTCAATGCTAGGATGAGACAAGTGTTTTTAAGTGCAAAATTGTAAGCATGGGAGATAACTACTAATTACGTTAAGAAAAGCAACGCGAACCTATATTTTTTGTCCGAATAATTTTTCTTTAATTCTAGCAAGGTTTTGTTAAAAAAAAACAAATTCTAAAGTCTGTATGTCGAAAAAGGCTATCATTGTCGCCTATGGAGAAATTAATTGTTTATAACAATTTATAGGAGTGAGGACTACTAAGCAGAAAAATATAAATTTTGCCAGCACCTTAACAGTGATGAGTTGTCTGTTGTCACTTTTTGGGTCTGTCTGATACTACTTCCTAATTGCTGATACTTTAACATTCAATGTGTATTGTTAAGGTCGAATAATTTTTCTTCTTACAAAGAAAATACTGGGCAGAATTAATAACTTCATTATTCATAATTGGCCAAAACCCTAACAGTGATAAGTTGTAACGTGTAGTTACTTTTTGGGTCTGTCCAATTCCTTCTTCCTGTTTGCTAATACTTTGAATTTTACAAGTGTGGGATAGTCATAGCATGACCAAGTGTGCAACGTTTTGTTACTATAAGACCTGCAAACAAAAATTTGTTGATATGGGAATGGCCCTGTCTGTTTGTCTGTTCCAGTTTTCCACATACTGTATAAGCAAAAATTATTATATTCATTGGTGTTGCGGCTAAAATCAAATAATTTTGACTTTGAAGTCTTTGTTCAAGGTCAACAAGACTATGGTCACCAACCATAGTGTGTGACACATCTTCTTGCATTGATTTACCTTCATACAAAATATCAAAAGCCTACATCAAAAGACAAAAGTTACAGTTCTAGCACAAACTTCTCATGCAAAAAAATCATTAAATTGACCTTGAGGTCAAAGTTCAAGGTCTAAGGTTACTATCCATGTTAGTAACACAACCTCTTGAGTTGATCTACCTTTATACCAAATATCAATAGCCTACATTAAAAGACAAAAATGTTACAACCAGAACATGATTTGTTACAGATGGACTTGCGGACAGACTGATAACTAAAGGGCATCTGCTCCTTTTCGTGGCGGGCCCATGATAAGGTTTTGCTTATTTAGAATGACTGTCAAAACAAACTCCTTTTCACTTTACTAATTTCAGCAAAATTCAATTACTAATTAATGACGTTTTATCTATTAAATTGTATTTTAAGTTAATTTTCCAATTTTTGCCACTTTACTTCAATTATCAGTTTGAGATATAGACAAAAAGGGAGGCAAGAAATGTATGTTTATATTATCCTGAAACAATGCTTAGGTAAAGACCTTCAAAATGTTTGAATTTAAAAAAAAATGCTTAATTGGCTCCTACAGAAGTGCTGATTTTCATCAGAATGTGTTATTTTTACCCTGTTTACAGATTGTAACTGAAAGTAAAGCACACATCCAATTATTATTCTATGAAAGAGATGTATTTTTTATAATTATGTAGAAAAAAATGTTTTACTGTAAAAAAATTAAAAAAATACCATGAAATTAGTGTTTTATTGGAATATTGAGGAAATCATCATTAGGGGGATAACTCATGGTGGGTTATCTCCCTTATTTACCAAGAAAGTGGTCATAATACTTTCATACTTTGCTGAGGACAACCCAATCTTACAAAATGTTAAATATTGTAAAAAATCTATTGGGGGATTATTTTTTAACAAAACATCCTTATCCACCTTAAAATCGAGAAAAAATCATGAAGACGTTGTCAAAAATGATGAAAATCGCGAAAATGCATGCGTGTCACAATGAATTTTAGAATTAAATGGACCTTAATTGACTATTAAAACGTTAATAGTCACTAAATAGTCTATTAGTTAATAGAAGCCTTAAAAGTGATTCGTGCAACGCTATTAACTGACTCTATTAACTAATAGTCAATTAGATATTTAATAGTCTATTAGAAGTTAATAGTCTATTAACTTAATAGACGTTTGTGCAACCCAGCACTAAAAAAGTTAAATACAATAGGTAAGGTCTGCACAGTATGTCAGTTAGAATGAAAAAAACACGAAATTCGGACTGCCACTGGAAAATGGAATTTTTAATTTCAAGAAGATAATTATAGATTTTGCACTTCCAAGTGTTAACAAATTTTGCATTCCATAATTGAAAATCTACATTTCATAAGTAATTTTCTATGTAACCGGAGAGCATAAATTTCATTACAAAATTGCTTGTCTCCGCTCGAACCCGGGACCTCTGTGTTACAATGCAGCGCGTTAACCGACTGAGCTAAAGAAGTACCTCCTGAGCTCAACCGCTTACGGCTGACTAAGTATCTACCATATTGTCTAAGGGAAGCAATCCCGTCACACTTCCCCCACCTCAAGAGTCATCATACCATTATGAGTCTCACACAAAGATACCCTAGCAAGAATTCCTCTCTAACCACCGTGGGTTTTTTAGTTGGGCGCCAATGTAACCGGAGAGCATGAATTTCATTACAAAATTGCTTGTTTCCACCGGGACTCAAACCCGGGACTAAAGAAGTACTTCCTTAGCTCAACCGCTTACGGCTGACTAATTATCTACCATATTTTCTAAGGGAAGCAATCCCGTCACATCTACATAGCAAATAATGTGTAAGATCTAAACGATACATGTCACGAGTTTTATAATTTTTATTTGCTTTTCCAAAACGTGTTACAATCGTCAGGGGCCTTTCAGATATTTAAACGATGATGCGTAAAAATCTTGATATTTCTGAAATTACAAAATAACTTTGAGTTAACATTTAGACAACAGAATCTTTTAAACTGTATTACTAACTGTTTTTTATTTGATCAAGGTGATCCATCTGACTTAGTTATAGTAAATGCGACAGGTGGCAAAATTGCTACAGTTGAAGGAAGAGAACATAATTTAGAATGTAGCGTAACCAGTGGACAACCTGGCGGCAATATTACTTGGTCTACGGACGACGGAGCTGTTGTTGCCAAAAATGGACATAGTTTTGTTACTTACAAATTGACACCTCAAAGATCTGACAATGAAAAGCTATTCAAATGTGCAGCTTTTAACAGCGACGGCAAGAAAATAATGGAATCCTCAGTCCTCCTAAAAGTTTTTTGTAAGATGTTTTCAGTTTTAGCTATAATTTACACTTTTAAACGGCAAAGTAATCGTACAGATATATATTTGCATAAACCTGAACATGCATAGTAACCTACACTAGAATCACAATAGGAAACCAATTAAATATCTAAAAAGGTTAAATTGAAATAGAGAAATATAGGCAGATGTAGAAAATATATCTCCCTATAACTAAATTTATAAAACATGCTATTGAAAAGTAAGCATCCATCATTTGCTTGTTTTAAGAGGAGAGTACTAGACTGTTTGTTACGCTGAATGATTCCATGAAGGCTCAAATTCCCAAATAGAATCATTGTCAATCGCGGATCAATTTTGAAAGAAATCTTTACCGATACCAAATGGGGATGGATTTTCCTTTACATAGGATACAACGAAGGAATCTTAAATCTATTAATAAAAATGTAACACAGTATACGGTATTGAGACTCTAAGCCATCGACACAAATAACCAAAAGTAATCATGCAATATATAAACAAGTTATCAACAACAAATGTCGAGCAATAAATCGCCAATAATTGAAATAGCTGTAAATTTATCCGAAACTAAATAAAACTTGCCATTAACACCAAAGTATCAAAAATAAAAAAAAAACAAATAAAATACGACAACAAAAAAAACTTAATGATACACTTAAACTTTTGACAGGTTAAAACTCTTGCTTTTTTAGTTCAAAATACTCTCCGTTTCATCTCGGTCATTGGAGTACAAAAATGTACATCAAATAACATACAATAAAAACGGGTCACGTAAGAATCAAGCTTTATAATAATGGTAAAATAAATGATAACACAAGCACAAACAGAAAACGATAGCAAACTCTTCTTTATCGCGGAATGGTCATAATTGCTGTTACTAAAGCAAGCTCGACGTACTTAACCTGCTGATATGAAATCATGTCCTCAGTTTTTTGGTGGGGTTCATTTTGCTCAGTCTTTAGTTTTCTTTGTTGAGTACTTTTCTTTTTAGCAATGGTGTTATCAGTTTATTTTCTACTTACAAGTTTGAATGTCCATTTGATATCTTTCGCCTCTCTTTTTTTCGTACACTCTTGTATTAATGGCTGTACCTCGGAATTAATTTCTTGCAACTCCCACAAAATAGTTCAGGAAGACATGATAGAGTAAAAACCAATGCATACTTTCATTGAAATAAGCGAATAGAACATTTTAGTCTCGATTCAAATTGTACAAAGCGAAATGATGTCTTAATCTGGGAAAATTTGATTTAGTTATTATTTGCAATTGGATTTGAACTAGTTTTCAGTAACTGTAAGTACTCTAAGATCGACAATTTGTATTTTTTTTATAATTGTGTTTATGCTTTGTGTAGATTTGATGGTTCAAGGTATGAATAACCAGATTGTTTTCAAGAAAACATAAAGTGCAACTCTCTACAGGTATTGCTAGAAATATCTAACAAAAGGCGTTTCGTTGAGACTTTAACCAGCACACAACATACATATCTTATGAATCAAGGATAACACTGATGGCTGTAATCATAGTTTCAGTGCATGTTCAATTAGTGTATTTACTAAAAGTGTTATTACTGAAAAGGGAATTGTAACAACTGTAACAGCTATAGTAGCATCAAGATTTACCAAACAGGATCAAAACGTCATTCCGTGTTTACAAGTTGTTATTTGGAGGCAATGTGTGTTTTAGTAAAAATTAGAATTGAAGGGCGTTTCTAAAATAAACCGATATAACTTGTACCAAAAAGACATAATAATACAACTTTACTTTCATCAGAATTCGGGTTTTGTAAAGTTAATATTAAAATTTAAAAAATGTGATATGATTGCTAATACGATAACTCTCCACAATAGACCAAATGACCAGAAATTAAGTTTGTCGTCACTATACACTATATATTCCAAATTTGACAAAGTCTATAAAAACTTCTATTTTGAGATATATTCAGACGTTTATAACTTTGTTATTTATGTCGAAAGTTACACATTTTATTTGAAACTTATGAGACATACATAGAGCTGTGAATTTTAAGTATATATAGTTGAATATTTTAAAATAGCTCTTATGTGAAATAAGTTCAGACGAAATTGTCTACCCCTCTATCTTTCTCCAATGCTGTGTTTTTGTGTCTTTTTTCTTTAGTAGCTATACATTGTGAAAATAATTAGTATTATCACTTAGTTAAACACTGTTTTTACCATTTTGATAGTATCAAAATTGTTATAAATGATAACTTTATTAATAATTATTATTCTTTCAGATATTCCAAAGATAAGCTTCAGTCCAAATCAAACAATAACTGTGAAAGAAGGCGATGAAGCGGAACTGATTTGCATCAATGATGGGAACGATCCAAACGCAACTACTGTTTGGAGAAGACAAGGAACAAACACAAATATCTCCAAAAATGGTGAATTAAACTTGAAAAACGTTAACCGGACAGATGCAGGCCTATACACATGCAGGGTTGAGACAAAAGCCGGTGTTTATGAAGACAATGCAAAAGTTGACGTGCAGTGTAAGTGATGCATTTAAAATTTTGCATTTGAAAGTTTTATATAATTAATTGTTTTTGGAAACGATTTGATAGTTTTCCAATCCCAAGTACAATGCATTAATGTCATACATACGCATTTGTGTGTTACTCTATCCGTACCAAACATCTACGGGATAATTGATGCGACTGTGTTGAACACCTCTGAGAAGCAAAATCTTAGTCTTGATTTTTCTCAGGATTATTTTATTTATGTAACTCGTAAATAACACTGATTTCAAAGAAGGCAATATATCAAGGATGAAAACCGATTACAATCAACTGAAAAAAGTGTTTGTGGGTCAGTTACATCTAAGAAATGTTCTCAAGCCATATAATTTTCGATCAAAACATTTGTTATTTTCTTTTTTGTTAACTTTTTTGTAACCCGAAAATTTAATTCATTTGTATCGTGAATAAATATATATCACAGTGAAATCGATATAGTGTTTACATTGATTACGAAAGTAGTTTCAGAGGTATGGTTGTTCGAAGTGCAAACAAAGGAAAACGATGACATTTAACTATGTTTATACTGCAACTAGTTGTGTTTATTTCCTTAATATAGTATTACAGCTATATTTTGTGCAATGTCAATTTCATCATGGAACACTTTTTCCGCTATCAGGGGTTCATTAAGGGATGTAAATAAGTTTGAAATTGTGTTACAATTTAAATAGCTATCAATGTATTAATTTAAGTTCCAGTATAAAAACAATATTAGGTCAATGTCATAAAAATACAAACTTTTTTGTATTAGGCACAAAACTGGGGAAGGGCTCGGTACAGCCTCATACAAAAAAGTTTCTATTTTTCTGCCATTGACCTAATATTGTCTATGTATATATGTAATCATATACACAACTTATAAGCTTTTAAATCCAAAATTCAACCCTTTTACAGCCGATTGCATTGAGTGTGTAGGTAAAGGTAATATATTTGGTTAGCTTGCTTGCTAGCTGAACCGTGAAGTCATTGTTAGGTAAGGTATACTACCCTCCTTTCGAAGTAGCCTAGTCCTACAGACAGATAGATTGGTTATCTGTCGGACTAGTCTACTCTTAAAGCAGGGTAGTTTACCTAACCTAATAATGACTTTACGGTTCAGCTAGCAAGCAAGCTAACCAAAGAGATTACCTTTAACTACACACTCAATGCAATCGGCTGTAAATCAATACGGATGTCCTGTATTCTGTTAAATCCTGTGTTTTGGCCTTCGCCAAAATTTCGTTTAACGAAATGTTTCAATGTCTTGTACAAATAAACTCTAATGAATTTGTTGAATTTCCAGATGCTCCCACTATCGATATTCGATATTTTCCGACAAAAAGAAAATTGAAGTGTATTCCAAACGGTATCCCCGATAGATACATGTTAAAGGACTGGGAACATACAACCGAATACAACGATCATATAAGGTTTTTGCCGATAATGAAGGAGGGGAATAACGCAATTTTAACTATTCCTGAAAATGTGACTGGAAAAGATCATCATCGAGATAAAGGGATATATATTTGTCGGGCTTCGAATAACATATCATCAGCTGATGGGATGTTTGTAATGCGGAAGTATAATTTAAGTTTGAATGGTGAGTCTATTTTCCTTATGTTCACATGTGATAAAGAACACATGAATTATGAAAACAATAATGTCTTCGTTGGGAAGACAGGATGTTAAACAACTGATCATGAAATTTGACAATTAGGAGGTTTTTTTTAAACTGAAATGAAAAACAATTATTTTAAAACTTTACTTGTATATAACAAACACGAATGACAATATCTTTGCGCAACTAGTACAAGACTAGATAATATTAAAAAACACGCCAAACACTATTCAGTGTTATTTTCTGGACGCACACCATATTGAGATATGCATGGACTAAAAATAAAATAATTGTAAAGAAAGCTATTTCCATCTGGTCTATTAGTAGAAATAAAGTTGAAAAAATAAGTCTGTTTGTTTTGTTTAATCTTTTAAGAACTGCCATTGGGCTTATAACGACTTTACATATATTTTGGTCCATGAAAGGACTAGATTTACAAAGGGATAAAATTTGCCCTAATTGTTTTTTAAATCCTGCCAAACTGTTTCAAATTCCCCATGTTTAAAATGAGATACTTATATTAATTCAAACTAATTTCTTTTTGGCCCCTCAAATACTTTATTACGACGTTATGGCCCGTTAATGATGGAGATTGTAACGTTTTGGTCCATTTTTTCATAACTTCTAACCGTTTTTAGAATTCACTTTGACCGCCATCTGTGATCCAGAAAATGTTTGTGTGAAGGGTTTCAATATTAACCACGATAGGTTGGGTTTTACATAGTATTTTGGATCTGAGGATACGACCAAAAATTCCTAAATTTTATGGTCCCAAATATGCACCTAAATACTCGAATTTTGAAGATATCTGCAAAATGTGCTAACTTTCGAGCTTATAATGTTCTTTTATGAAGACTTTTGATTTAATTTGCATTAAGGATTTTTAAATACAGCCAGACCGTGGCACTTTTGTTGATTTATGATAAATATATTAATTCAAGGATATATGTTTAATTAGAGAAAGTAAATCCTTACTCTTCTGGATCACCTTAGTCCATGTCATGTTTTCATTGGAATACATTTACCTTAGCTGTATTTGGCAAAACTTTTAGGAATTTTCGGTCTTCAATGCTCTTCATCTTTGTATTTTATTTGGCCTTTTTAACTCTTTTTGATTCGAGCGTCACTGATGAGTCTTTTGTAGACGAAAGAAACGCGCGTCTGGCGCAAATACTAAATTTCAATCCTCGTATCTATGATGAGTTTATTTACAACCACTGGGTCGATGTCACTGCTGGTGGATTTTTTATTCCCCTAGAGTATCACCAGCCAAGAAGTCAGCACTTCTGTGTTTGACATGAATTATCATTGATATGGTCATAATTATAAATTAACTGTTGAAAACTTTGAATTTCTGAAATTCTAAGGCTTTTCTACCTCAGGAATAGATTACCTTAACTGTATTTGGCAAAACTTTTAGGAATTTTTGGTCCTCAATACTCTTCAACTTCGAATTTTATTTGACCTTTTTAACTTTTTTTTAATATTCGAGCGTCACTGATGGGTCTTTTTTTATAATGATTACCTAGATGTCATTTGCGAATCAAAGCGAGATAACAATAAAACATATGCTTAATGATTCGGCCCATTTACCCCAATTTAATGTCATGTATACACTTGCGTAAAAAAATCACTTTATAAGGATAGTAATAATTTCATGGTTTACGTTCAGTAATCACCAATTCCTGAAAACAAAACAATGACCAATGTCCGGAATCGTAAAACAGTTTCAATATTTTGCGCGTATTTTTGACTTGTCACTATCTAATTAATTATCAGCGGCCATTGTTATCTATTAACTATTGTAGTTCTGAATAAGATTTTACTATATATTATGTAAAATGTTAAAGTTTGAACAAATTCGGCGGGTATAAATTATGCAAATATTAGAGAATTTGTCCAAACCTTTTGGTCAAATATTATATACAATTTCACCATTGGTAGGACGTCGAGGTGACATCACCAGTACCCTATTGTACTATGATGTCCAGAATTTATTTTTCTGTTCTCAAAACTACAAGGAAAGTATAAGTTCTGAATCTTAGAGGATTGCCAATATAAAGCCGTATGAAGCGACACCAATCGTGTTTGTAAGATCATACAACAATAGGCATTGCGAAAAATAAGCTCAAAGTAATAATATATGTAATGTCCTTAAAGTTGAAAATTATACTACTGTCCGAGAGTCTGTATTTAGAGAATGTGTAATTTTCCATAATAACAACTTCTTTTAGGCACACCTTATTTTGTCAGCTCTACTGAAAACACTCAATATGGAGTTTATCTCACAACAGCAAATATTAAGATAAAGTTTGTGAGTGTTCCTGAATATAACAGTTACGACGTCTATAAGAATGGAACCAAATTCAGAAATTACACTGAATCCGTTTACAGAAATATGAAATTAACAGATAATATTTATGGTGAAAATGTTTCGGTGAAAGGAAGCATCATATCTTTACAGATACACATAGACACTTTAGATGATTTTAGCACGTATAAAATAGTTGTAAAGAATGCAATTGGATCTTCAACTCATACTATAAAACTTTTTTCTGCAAGTAAGTATGAATTCATATTAATAAAATAAAATTTATATTTCAAGTACAACAAATAAAAAAAAAATCACTTTTAATTTTTTTTACCCTTTCATTATTCATTGTGTCGTTTTCCAAGTCATGTGAATGCATTAAAGATCTTATACATCTCAACATAAATTTGTCTTTTGCACGGCAATTAAGTACACACATAGAAAGTATGACTTTATTTACATTGTTTTAGTTAATATTCTAATTAAACTGATAATCAAGGTCGTATTATAAAATAACTGACACGAAACAAAGTAACATCAATTTCAATTGTTTTTAGGTGCTCCATTTATGCCCAAAATTCTTAAAACATCAGCAAAACAAACTCAGATTTTTGTTTTGTGGAAGCCCGGATTTGATGGTGGCTATCTTCAATGGTTTATCGTTGAATATAAAGAAAAAGGAGACATATACTGGAATAATCAAACAGTGAATTCATCGAACTCGACAGTAATTGGCGGATTGCAACTTGCAACTAAATACATCATTCGAATGCTTGCAAGAAACATGATCGATGAAAGTAATAGAACAGAAGAAATCATTGTTCAAACAGGTATTTCTGTAATGCAGCAGATGCATCTGAGAACTAACCAATTCATTATTCTCAATTTCAAATCGTATCATTCTACAAGACAGACCTCGATTTGCAGTGAAATATTGAAATAGAAGATGACTGTACTTTGACCTATAATGGTTTACTTTTACAAATGTTGACTTGGATGGAGAGTTGTCTCATTGGCACCCTTACCTCTTCTTCGTATATATATTAAATAGCAAAATGAACAAAACTGTTTTACGAATTTCACTTGAATTACCATTAACAAATTTAATACCTTTTTACGGAGAGAAATGTATAGTGATATGTTTTTGTTAATGACGGCCGTGCATTTTCAGTATTATAACATCGAATATAACATAATATAATACACAAAAAAATCTGTATTTTATAATAATTTGAATTTGAAAATTGTATTTTTTATTTCTTGAAAAACAGATGAAAGTGTTTCAGAAACGGACTTTTCTGCCATCATTAGTTTAATAGCCGTTTTGCTGTGTTTGCTGATAATTGCTGCGTATTTCAGAAGAGGTTAGTACAATGGGGTTTAACATGTGAAATAGGAATTTTCTAACGTTGAGTTAATGTGGAATTTACCATGTATGATTTTGCATTGTTTTGAAATCAACTACTAAAAAAACACCATTTTAATATTACTTTTTAGATTATATGGGGAATATGTCAAAGAGACAACAACCCGACCAAAGAGCAGACAACAGCCGAAAGCTACCAATGGGTCTTCAACGCAGCGAGAAAATCCCGCACCCGGAGGTGGTCCTCAGCTGGCCCCTAAATAAAATTGTGTACTAGTTCAGTAAAAATGGACGTCACACTGAACTCCAAACATATAAAGGAACTAAAATGAAAAAAACATACAAGGCTCCTGACTTTGGACAGGCGCAAAAATGCGGCGGGGTTAAACATGTTTGTGAGATCTCAACCCTACCCCTATACCTCTAGCCAATTTAGTATAAAGAAACACATAGCAATACGCACAGTAAAACTAAGGTTAAAAGAAGTCCGAGTCCGATGTCTGAATAGGTAACAAAAGAAACTAAGCAAAATGACAATGATACATAAATGAACAAAGGACTACTAGCAGTTACTGACATGCCAGCTCCAGACCTCAATTAAACTGATTGAAAGATTATGTCTTCATCATATGAAAATTAAGTACATATTTAGCCTCAAAGACATGACAAAATAGAACAATTTAACAAAAGCTCGTACAAAGACAATCTTGAAAAATCATTTATCGAATTTTCTATCAAATAAGATATAAAGAAGAAATTGTTTATTAGTTACATGCATGGTATCTCTCAAAAGGTCAATTGACTTACTAGAAACAACGTTGTGTAGCAGAGATGGTATAATCAGCGTTTTTTTATGGCATGGTTAAATGAATGAACAATTATCAGGTGTAACTATTGTTGACGCTTCATTTGGTATAAACAGATACATATAAAAATACAAAATTATTTACGAACATTCTTTTGTTCACTCTAATGGTATGATATTAGCGGTACATATTCTTCTGCATTTACATGCAGGATCAACATTTCGTACGTCATATGCCTTTTCCACAAGGCTCACCAGTGACGCTCGAATCAAACAAGTTAACAAGGCCTTATATAGAACGATGTTAAAGAGCATTGAGTACCTATAATTCCGAAAGATTTTTTCAAATACAGCTTATGTAATCAAGAATAAACTTTTCATGTTCAAATATTTCTAAACAAACACATCATAGATACCAGGATTGCAATTTGTATTTGCACCAGACTAGCGTTGCGTCTACAAAAAACAGTGATGCTCGAATCAAAAAAGGTTAAAAAGGTCAAATAAAGTACGAAGTTGAAGAGCATTGAGGACCAAAAATTCCAAAACGTTTTTCCAAATACAGCTAAGCCATTCTCTTCCTGAGGTAGAAAAGCCTTAGTATTTAAAAAAATCAAAGTTTTGTAAAGTGTTAATTTATGATTATGACCACATCAATGATAATTCATGTCCTAAACACGTATCAACCTATTCAGAAGTTTAGCAGTGTAAAAATTAAAAAAGTATTTAAAATATATTTATACATCAGGTTTACAAAAAATACAAATACATAAGGTTTAGAAAATAATATGAAGAAACAATATGATTAGTATATGTCTATAAGGCAGCAAATACACAGTCACAAAGCATAATACAATCATCAAAAGAACAGACTAATGTCATAAAATTGAGTCAAGGCCTCAATATGAATAAGTCAAAATATTTTAAATTTTCTAAAAAATTACACAAAAAAAAGCAAAATGTAACTAAATACTTTGATCCATTACATTCATCTATGGTAGAATAGCTTTAATATATTTTGTATGTGTGAGTGTGTTGTTTTTTTAGGGAAAATAAAGCAATTCATAGACACAAGGTAGACTTGCTTGTACAATGTTTGCAAAGACTACTTAAATCTTAGTATTGTCTCTTGTCTCCAACTTGTTATTAACCCTTTCTAATTTTATACAACAATGTAAAAATAAGATAAAGATAATATTGAAATTAAAAGCTGAAATTTCGTTCTTTGTAAAAAGACAGACTTGCATCTATTGATTACTGTTTTATTCAATTTCATTTGTATCTATATAACTAATACTGTATTGTTTATTGTTGGTTGATACTCCCAAAGCAAAATAGACGTACATGTATTTATTCAGCATTTCTTTCTGTAGCAGAGGGGTTTAGAAAAAAAATGAATATCACTAATTTGCTTTTATATGAATAAGCACTGTTATATGCGCGCTGTTTTAGCATTTTATCGAGGGGTGAGGGATTCTAAAGGTTAACATACATGTACCTTACAACAACCCAAACTGTAAATTGCTCCAATTGCGAAAGAATAGTTTTAAAATATATCATATTAATTCGTTTTTATTACGTGTTCGTGTTTTGCGTTTTATTTAGAATATACTGCAGTCTGATGCACAAAGTCCTTTTCTACATATAATAAACCAATCTAGTACTAATATTTTCTTTAAAAGAGCATTTCAATGACCACTCATTTTGCATGGTTTTTTTTAGAATGAGCAAAAACTGAAAACCTTCGTTTACTATTGCATGGAGAAAATTTCAGCGAAAACAAATATTTTTTTTATATTCACGTTTGCGTAATCTAACAAAAAAACTTTAAAAGATGACAACGTTACGGTACTAAAAGATAGATAGATTAGATAAACATTCCTCGATAGATACAATATCATATTGTAATGATAAGAGAGACAACAACTACGAAAAAGAAGGAGTTTTTAGAAAATTAAACACAAGTATACTACAGATAATTTATATGTGTATAAATATGTAATATAATAAAAAATAACCTTTCATTTGCTTTTTATAAACCGAATGTTTAAAATAAAACAAAAATTAAAAATATTCAAGTTTGAAAATTAAAGTTTTGTGTATTTTTTAGATTCAGCAATCAAAGTAATTTAATTGATACCAATATTTCCTTCGCAGTTAACAAATTAATATTTTATTTCTTTTTTTCAGATTCATTTATCAAGGTAATTTATATGATTACAACATTCCTTTTTTTCAAATGAAATTCTACTCAGAAAACATTGGTACTATTATCTGTAATGCAAGTCCGAACAATAGGAAAATACTAGTTTAAAGATTGTCTTATCTAAAAAAAGATAAGTGTATTTTGTTACTTTTCAAGTTATGATGTAAAGGGATTTTACTGGTCTCGTTGATGAATGATTCACAACCTTTTTTTTTTTATAAAAATCGAAACATAATTTAGGCATACAGACCTTTCTACCCTATGAGTATACAAATGCGTATACAAATTTAGAAAACCGTAGTCTTATCGATGTTCAAATTTCATTAATCGATTAAAAATTACAAATGAAAACAAAAACTGATTGACAACCAGGAAATATAAATAGAAGCGAAACTGGTTGCGACGACAGGGTGAGCGTCTTCTGCTATGTATGCATCACCCATCATACGATCTACACTCCGTTAAAAAAACACAATCAGAAATAGGAAACAATCGGATAAGTAACAGGTCGGATTATACACTATTCTAGGAAAGAGTTAAGAGTTCGAAAATATAGTGCCAGTGAATTGAGACAAATACATAAGGTCTTTCTCAACTTATTTGTGATAGTTTTCGTTAAACTTTTGTTGTGTTGATTTTAGTCGTTCCCTTTTTTACTCTGTTGGAACAGTTTTCTTGGCATGACTGCATTCCGTTTAATGAGGTGAACACGTACGATCGTATTAATTGAGAAATGTAGATGCTATACGATTGAGAAGAAGGTATGTGACATGCTGAGGAAATGAAAGTTAAAAAACAGACATGAAACATTGTACACGCTGATACTCAAATTGAATATATAGATTTATAAAAAATAAAAAACAACACTAAAGACCATATTAAAAAAAAAATCTGTATAACTATAGTCACAATAAGAATAGAATCATGTGCATAACAGTGTAGCCGAGACCATTGATTGGCGCGCAAAAATATCCCATTGACTGGGTCAGATTAGGTGAACGTTCGTCTGTAACGCCCAAAACTCACGACGTATTTATTATAGACATTTAAACTGTGAGGTCACCAAAGGGTCTCAACGCCTTAATAAAATAATTCGAAAAACTAAGTCGAGGTTAGTCTATGGAAAGGTATATACTATGAAATTTAGAGCGAGAGGCTTGTCCCGAGCTCTTAATTTCATAGTATATACCTTTTCATAGACTATCCAATTTAGCACATATTTACAACTCGAGTAATCTTTTAATTGGTCTCTTGATAGTTTATTTTGGCTGACTACTTGTATCACAGGTGTTTGTAAAAAGGAGCTCATTAACGGAGTTTTGTAAGTCTACTCACTAGTATCATTGTAAAATATGTGATTTCAAAAGGCCCTTCACTCCAGAATGAAAAGATGGTAGCTGCTGGTGTAAGTATGTATACTGATATAAAGCGGTGTTTTACTATACATGTTTTTTTTACATGGTAAGATGACAAAATAAATTGCCCAAAAGCAGGCAATAATTAAATTGCAGTGGAAGCTTTACATGTCTTGAAAACATTTTGTAATTTCACAGTAAAACTAAAGCTATAATAAATTTGAAACATATAGATAGTTTGTCCCCATAGATGTAGTCTAGCAGATAGGCATTAAAAAGCAACTACTAATAGATCAGAAATTATAGGTTTTGTGTTTTGTGTTTTTTTTTTTATTATTTCAAAGTGAAAACTAAAAGATTTATCAGAATATGTTTATATATCTATATAGGTGGCACATTATCTTCAGACATAATCACAGTTTTTCAATTCATGACATCGTCCTGAACATGCATGAAATATTTGCCACTGGACATTAAGCAACTAATAATCAATAAATCAATCAATTCATGACGAAATAGATCACCTTCCTTAAGAAAGTTTAAAAAATTACCACCAAGTTGCTTTAATTTTCCTTCACAAGGTTTCATAGTACACACTTTTCTGTGTACAAAGTAATTGCATGGATGATACATTATCATAATTTTAAGATATCGTTGTACTCTAATCAAGATATAAAGAACCATAGGTATTACCCTTTATTTAAATGATAAAATTTGCAATTGTCAAAAACATTTTTTAGATCCAAAGATTTTAATAGCAGGATATTTAAAAATCAACGTGAAAACTAATTACAAACTATTTAATTTAATTTGGAACACAGCATTTTATTTCAAAATAGCCAGTGGCAATTTTTGTTTTAAATATCTTGATTACGATACAATGAAATCTTACCCTTGTGGTCATTCATGCGTAGTTACTTAGTACACAGGAAAAGTATGTACTATGAAAATTAGAAGGCCAATATACGCAATTTGATTGGACGAGAAGTTGTAAGTATGTGCTAATCAGGAATAACCTTTGTGTTTTGATTTATATTGAATACTTACACTGAACTGCGGTCAAGCTTAGCGAAAGGTCGTGCAACATAATCAGTCAAACAAACTTTATTAGATTAACTCGTTAAGGAACGATCGTTTTCATTGGTCAATTCAAACCTTCGACCTCACACCTGCGAAAATAGAACACGCGTACTATAAAGCTGAATGGACTAATCAGTATTCACGTAGCCGGTCAAGGTCGTTAAAAACTTCCATCGTCGTATTCCCGAACATGATTGTGTTCTTGATTATCGCATGGCAATTCTAGCTTTTATACATGTGCATGTAAAATTTTAAACTTTAATCTTAACAGTCACGTCGAAATATTTAATTCAACTGTCTTCTCTCAATTGGTCCTGGATTAGGGAGCTACCATTTTATTTTGATTGGGGGTGAAGGACTTGGATGAAACATTTTGTCCTTCATTTTTTTTAGTTGTTATCTCTGTCCTGTCTTTCTATTTTTCAGTCTGTTAGGTCCTGACTATATTTATTCGTTTTTCCTGATTTTTTACATAAATCGTCATCCTGCCTTTTTTTGTCAAGTTGCTTACCCTGCCTTATCTTTTATTCAATGGACTTGATGAATTAACGTTGTACTTGAAATGAAACCGTACTTAACTACAAAAATAACCAAATTACATACTAAAGATATTGCTCGATTTTTATAGTAAATGGGTTTGTGTTATAAACTGTCATGTTCATTATTCATATTCTTTCATAAGTTTTAGGATAGTGTGATTTTTTTTCTGATTTAGTTTACTTGATTTTGAAAAAAAAATCCCGAAATTCTAAGTAAATTCAGAACATGTAACCAGCCATGCTTTGTTTAGAGAAAAAATGGAGATGGCAAACCATGGCACAGTGGAAGGAAATGTACTTTATAAACTCCAGCGATATACTTTCTTAATTTATAATTAACTGTTTTGCTATCCTCGGTTGAAAATTATATATTGTAAATATTTAAATAGTTGCATAGAAAACAATCAGTTTTAAACAGTGTGGTTATTCACTAAATGTATTGATAAAAGGTGACTCCATTTTTGTACATACTTTTACAGTAGTCATCCTTAATTTCTTAATATTTCGTTTATAAGTTTATCATACATGTATGATTTTGTATTTCATTTTAATACGCACGCATGCCACACGTTACTTTGGCGGATTGTTCAACAATGTTATGCAAAGCTCTATTCTTACGGTATGAAATTAAAGGATAAATTTTCAACCAATCAAAATCGAAAACAGTACATTTATATAGTTCCTTATAAACTACGACATTTCTCACAAGTATTTATTTATTTTTTAGTTCCACACATGCAAAAATAAAATCTTCGCCGATGAAACATTTCAAACCTTTTTACACCAACATGCCTTCACTGAATACATTTGAATTTCGTGGTGACCATGATAGTACATTGCATAGTACATCTATATTCACGTGCACACATGGTACGATCTTTCGGGGACAATTTGCTCGTTTATGACACGTCATTTCTGAAGAACAAACGCTTAGCTTCTTTATTTTCGTTTTATAGCATGAAAACAATAAAAGAGGAATGTGCAACCCATCATAAATTTGAAATGGATCAGTATTATGAGATCCTTATTATAAGTAACTACGACAGTGTCTGGATAATAACCTAGCGTCAATATGAAAGAAATTAAAGTGGTTCATACATTCATCCGTATAAAAGCGGCACATGTATTTTATTTTATCCTTACATTTTTCATAGTGCGGTACAAGTGCTGCATGCATAAAGAATATTACTTAACACAAATTATTAGTATAATATTTCGACCCCACTATTTGAAATTCACAAAATACTTATTTAATTATTTCGACCAAAAATCATTGTTTTTTACGTTCGTAGTAACGTAGTACATTCCATTGTCGGTCACCTGTGTCAATTCACGTGCACACAACAATTGTTGTTGTATTTAAATCTTTCGGCCAATGAAGTGAGACGTTACAAGTTGTTTGTTTGTGATACGCCAGAATGTTATCAATGAACTATCAATCGCTAAACTTGACTGCATTTCAGTGTAAACGTTCTTTACTTGTGTTTTCGTTATGATTTGATAATCAATTTTTATGACATCGCACGTTCTTTCAACAAAAAAAAAGGATTTAACTGGCTTTAAAAGTTACAATGCATGTGTTGATTATTATCTTTTTTTTTCGGACGTCAAAGCGATTTAACAATTGCGGTTGCATGTCCAATTATGTCATCTTTTAACTTTTATCTGGTCAAAATTTTATTTTAGAACGAATGCATGATCAACTTTAAAAAGTGTGCGTTCACAAAACATATAGACAAAATATACTTCTGTCCTGTCTTTTTCGTACTTGCAAGTTATTAGACAATAAAAAGGCTATTTGGATCAAGCCTTGTGGAATTTGCATTTACGTTTTTGAATAGGTAAAATGTATAGTTTGGTGAACTTTTCTGCTAACTACTATACTTGTGAAAAACCCTTGGCAACAGAAACATTTTCAGCTTTTTTTTTAATCGACCCAATTTACATAGTAATGGACGACTTCGTACATTTTATGATCGCAAATAAAATATGTATATAATATACTGTGCACTGTAGTTCGTATATATACTGAAACCCTTTGGCAACCCCACAGTTTAAATGTTTATAATAAATACGTCGTGAGTTGTGGGCGTTACAGACGAACGTTCACCTAATCTGACCCAGTCAATGGGACATTTTAGCGCGCCAATCAATGGTCTCGCCTACACTGTTTTGCACATGATTCTATAATGAAGTGAAAGAAATTAGAAAATTGTTTTACTTATCTATACTGTTATATTTTATGTAGCCAATGCAAGAGCTATTGGAAATGATATGGACGAAATTCAGAATGGTTTACATACACATAGTGATAGTGCTGCTGAGATACCTGTATACTCATCTATTGACAAAAGACACAATCTTCGTTTACATCAAACTGCTGCGTACACTGTTGATCAAAAGTGCATAACAAATCCTCTTAAATTTGGCCATCAAACAGGTAACGAAAAAATATCGTTATTTTGATTATAAATGATAAATATGGTATGAATATTTATAAATAAGATTTCTGATCTTAAGAATAAGAAACTCGTAGCGAATCTTTAAATTTTATTGCACCCGGCATACGTACTTTCACTTAGTCAAGTGCAAAACGGACACGGTAAAGTATCAGTTAAGACGACTTCACTGGGTTCTAAATATCTTAGACCGAAAAAAAAACATGTCGCTAGTGAGTTGATAAGCCGACAAATCGTATCGGAGAATCAATTCGACATTATGGCCGGAAAGCTTATGCAGTGTCTATTTTGATCATTCATCCTTTTAACTCAGTTGGCGTAGTTTTTGTGAAAGGAGCAGACCCCTGTTTTGTTGCTTATCAATGATAAATATGGTTTTAATATTTATAAAAAGGATTTCTGATCGTTACAATAAAAGAGAGAAAAAAAATACCTAGTGATTCCTCAAAATTTGAAATTCATTATGATCTAATCTAATCGTGTCGATTCTTATCATATCCAACAGAAGTCAGTTTCAATTGTTAGGGATATATGTAATCAACGAAAGTATAAAGGTGTCACAAACATATCAAAAAGGAGACATTGTAACGATCAAAGTTTAAAGTGATGATTAAAGTAGTTTTTCTCCGCACATTGATTTGATACTTTTGTTTGAACAGAAGACATGTTCATATGTCAGTTTATTTGTACATAAGGGAACAATCAGGCAAGGTTCTATCAGAAATTTAGGTTATATGTTGAAAAATCAATTATAAGTGAAGACTATAGGAAGTCTGAAATCATAGATTTCAGCTCTCCATCTTTCATTATTTTCATCGAAACATAATATGCTGTAGATCTGAATTTTACTGTTTCATAATTATGTTTATTATGTAATTGCTAAAGGAAGGAACATGCTCTCACTGGAAAAGTGGATTGTATAGAAAAAGGACATCTGTTTTTTTTTTTTCTTTAAAAATTGAAATGTTGAATAGTTTAAACATATTTTATTGTTAAAAAATGACAAATGGATTAGACACAAGTTTTTCAACTTAGTAACGTCTCCTCCAATACATACATAAATATACACATGAATGAACATTACATATATCTGACATTAACCAATTATTATATTAGCATGAAGTCAGATATAAAATCAAATTACATATAAATTTGAAGAATCGAATCAATGGATATTTTCCACTTAATATAACTAATCGAGTGCGTCTAATTTCAGAATAATTACAATACAAACACACTGAGCTGTGTAAAATAAAATATTTCGAATGTCTGACACTCTTTATTTTCATATCTGAATATCAACCGAACAAACGTAACAGCAATGCTGTGATTTAAATGGAAAAAAAACACTCTAAAATCCGCACTTGCGAATAGCTTTTCTGAATAAAACATCATCAGAACGATCAAACATTTGAGAGCCAGGAATAAAAATCAAAACAACACTTTATGAATCCTAAAAAAAGCTTTTCTGAATTTACAATGATAAGGAACTTTCAAAACCAAGGATTATAAGAACCGACGCACTAAAAAAAGCTGTATGACCAAAGAGGACCTAAACAGAATACACAAATTTATATAAGGTCAACTTTGTCTGAACTTTATGTTCAGTAATTTGGATATTTTTGTTTAGATGTTTTTGTCGTAGGAATCAATGTGGATCTTCCCCAAATAGGATTTTTCGTGGTCTAAACAAAGAAAACTGCTATGTGGTAATTAAAAGGGAACTCTTTAAAAAAGGAGCATCTATAATAAATTTAAGCGATCGTTTGATTTAATATAGCCTCTCCAAAATCCAGAGTTTGATATTTAGTGATTGTAAAAGATTGTTGTATGTCTTATTTGTGTTTCGTTTATCTTGTTATACAAGCGAGAGGTTTAGCTCGCTATGTTAGGTTTAATCCAAATTTATCTACATACGAAAATGCCTGTACCAAATCATGAATATGACAGTTGTTTTACAGCGTTTGATTTGTTTGATCTTTTGATTTTGCCATTTTATAAAATGCTTTCCGGTTTGAATTTTCCTTAGAGTTCGGTGTTTTTGCTATTTTACATTTATAACTATAAATTGGCTTCGAACTTGCAATTAAAATTATTTAATGAATCTCTTTATTTGTATCTGTACGGTATGGTTTTACTCTATACTGAAGTCCGAGCGATGACGTTCAGTTGCTTACATTTTATTTTTATATTAGAACCATTGGTTCAATCAATATAACTTCTTTGCCAGCAAAAACTCTATTTCCTACGATTAAATACTCATGCCGAGCAATATCGGGGCAACAATATTTTCAAATAATATCTAAATAAGAAAATAGAAAAAAAAGCATATAAAGAGTGCAAAAATCCCTTCAATCCACCAACACTCGACTATTCCGAAAAAAGATAAGAACAAAAATCTTACAACACCTAATATATATTGCTTAATGTGGTACATACTGTTATGGGCTTATAAAATTTGTAGGGGTTTACAAACCTTAATAAGCCTATCTAGACCATACGTCGAAACACATTTAATGCAAAAAAAAAACATTCTTTACAGTAAATTGACCAACATAATGATCGTTTACTTGATCATTTATATAAAAGCACATAACTTGGGAAGATGTTGTGGCGTTGGTACATTCGTGTGACGCACAGTTCGTAATTCTATTATGCCGTTTTTGTGTACTGTCCTAGATTATTTTAGGTATTCGCAGATATTCTGTGGTTAACATGTCGAAATGTACTATTATATTATTTATTTATGTATTTCTCTGTCCTGAGTGTTCTTGCATTTATTTGTACTGTATTCCTGTCATGTAATGTTGTCATTTTAGCGGTATATTTAACATTGCCATAAAGCGCGAGGTTTGGCTAGCCACAAAACCAGGTTCAACCAACCATGTTTTCTTGAAATGTCCTGAACCAAGTCAGGAATATGGCAGTTGTTATATAATAGTTCGTTTCTATGTATGTTGCATTGTCGTTTGTTTTTGTTGCACTTCAGTGTTTCTGTTGTTTCGTTATTTTCCTCTCATAGTTGATGTGTTTCCCTCGGTTTTAGTTTGTAACCCGGATTTGTTTTCTCTCAATCGATTTATGACTTTTGAACAGTAGTATACTACTGTTGCCTTTATTTGGTAGTATTATTCATTTTCATAATGCAGCAAAATTGACAACGTTTGTTATACACTTATCCGGGAATTACCTTTATGCCGATAATTTACTCTTACGAAATACTCTTATCCTAGAAATTTCAATTTCATGAAGTAAATATGTCAACAAATATCAATAAGCAGATCTTTTATTTGAGATGGTAAATTATATTGATGAATTATCATTTTTTACGTATTTTTAAAAATTTAGTCATCTTTTCATTGAACTCATACTGCAATAAGAATAGTAGCTATCGAAATCTAAAATAATATCTCCCGTGTGTCTGTTGCCCCTAAGAAAAAATCAAAATAGGAACCAGCTCACATTTGCAGTTTTTTTCGAAGACCGTTTTCAATTTCAAAATGAATTTGGGAGGGGGGGTTGTTGATGATTTTTTAAATAAGTACTTTTATTCATAAAATATATATCGAATAAATTAAATCAATGTAATAAGGAATTGATAATAAATATCACATGTGGATAAGAGAATATGTTGTGCATACATTTATAGCCTAAAAAAGGTGAATTAATTAACAAATCTAAGACAAGCGATCCTATAATACCTTTCTTTAGATGTAATAAAACTTGTCTGGGATCAGTGATTTTAAATCTTAAATGGGCAACCTCAATTTCAAACACTGTACAACTACACGAACATTATCACAAACCAAATTAAAATATTACTGATATAACAGAAACTCAAAATATTCAATTATTTTGTTAGCCGCAACTCTTAACCCCCTTCTTTTGTTGTTATGTATCGAAATAAGACGTATGTGCAACTGAACCAAATAAATCTGTTCCCATTCAGTCATTGCTAATGTAGCATTTAAACAAATAAAAGTGAAGGAAGAGCCATGAACGACTTTATAATCTAGCATCTCGTTTCCAACACAAAGGTTATCATCTGATGTAAACTGTACACCCTTTGCGTTCCGAAAAGTTCTAACAGGTGTCAAGTTCATATACGATGTATTTATATAAATCATAAAATCATATGCTATTACTTACAGTCATCGGACATGCCGTATAAAACTTCTGAATGTACTGTGTAATGCTTATTTATCTGTATAAATTTTTCAATTCACTTTATAGACTAATTTTCCACGATTTTTTAAGCAAAAATGCCATTGAATAGTATAAATATATAAATATTTTTTATTTTATGATATACCGAGTAAAAAAGTTTAGCAACATATAATATCTCGTTTAAAAAAAAACACTTTTAAAATGACAATTTACAAAGTTGCAGGAATAAATTTTCAATGAATTGCGTCTTTTGGTTGATTTTCTTTGGTACGATCATAGTTTGTTTATTGTTATATTTAGAAAAATAATGAATTTTTATACGCCGGTCTAAGACTGGAAGTATTATGGTATACCGTTGTCCGTATGTCCGTCCGTCCGTCCTCCCGTTCGTCGTCAACACTTCGGACAATAACTCAAGAACGCTTTAACCAATTTTCATGAAACTTTGGTGAATTGTTTATATCCGTTGACGTAAGCCCCCTTTTGATTTTAATAAATTTTAGATTTTACGTTTCCGAGTAACAAATTTTATTCATAAAAAAGGGGGGACTTTCCAGTTTTCAGACAATAACTCAACAATGCTTTGAGCAGTTGTCATGAAACTATGGTGACTTGTTTATATCTATTGATAAAAGTTCCCTTCTGTTTTTTTTTTTTATATAAATTTCTGATATGACACTGCGGAGTTATAGAACTGTATTCGTTGGAAAATCATCCAAACTAAAAGGGCGAAGGGTGTATCATGCGCTTATGGCGTAGTTCTTTGTTAAATATGATATTAAAAATATTTGATGCTCAACATTTTTTACTCCTA